GGTGAAAATCAAGTACAGTCAAAACACTCTTAAAAATCCCTTTAAATTTCCCATGAAATACAGCTGTAGACACTGTCACTGCAGAGGTCTAATGCGGTCAGTTCCTCCAGCATTGCTCTTCTTTTGTCGAACCAGTGATGCGGCACTACCCATATTCTTTTAGTGGCTAAGGGTAGCATAACAGAATTGGAAGAACTACTTTTTCTTCTAGTTTGTGAAACCGATTTTCATTAGTTCCATGAGTAAAAAATACCTTTTTGCTTTTTTTGTGGGTAAATGAGCAAAGGCCTCTGTTTCACAGGGAAATCCTTGGGTAACAGGGATGTTTGAGAGAGCGGTTTTTCTCAGAAAGGCCCATCTTCTTTCCCACTGTGTGAAGTCAGCACCTCTGCAGCTGTCATTTTCCTGTGTGCGTGTCTGTCGGCTTCGGTCTCCCCTCTGGTCCTGCTCTGCGGTGTCTGATCGGCTCCTGCCTCAACCCCTCATGTTCATTTTCTCTTCATCTTTGTTTCCATACTAATCTTTACTTAACCTGGGCTCTGGTGTTTTGTTTTGTTTTTTAATTGTGTCCTCAGTAACAGTAGAAGAATCGAATTCAAAGCAGTTACCTGAAAGGTGGTGCCAGAGACCTGGTTTAGGTTTAGGTTCTTATATTAACGTCGTAACTGAGAAAGGCATTTCATAGCCCCTTGCCTTCGTTTCCTTAGTTATGAAAGGAAGCTAATATATCTCTTGAAAGTAGAATTTGATATAGTTGAGGAATGCCAAACGGTGATGGCTTCCTGGATAAGTCAGAATTTCACGGTTCTGTTCTCTGTAGACTGTACCTTCTGTAAAACTTCGCTTAGTAACTTAAGTCAGAGTTGGCGCCCCGAGAAGTGTAGGATAGGCAATCCCGTGTTTCTGGAAACCTCAGTGACAACCTTGGAATTTTCCCTCAGTTCCATTTAGCTACATTCTCTTCTTTACACAGATCACACTCTGTGATCACCGTATATCATTCCTCTCTCCTGATCGGAAATTGATACGGTATAGAGTAAAGAAATACAGGTTGACCCAGTATACTTATGACATCTGTTATGATGCTACACCAGAGATTTTTGACAGAAAAGCTAGTGTGTAATGGGAGCAGTCTTTCTCTTCTGAATGCCAAAGCCCAGTGGAGATTTTTTCTATACCTGAATGATAACAGAAATGTAGAGAAACTTATTGAAAGTAGTGGTTTATCTTTAGGTAGAATGTAAAATATGTATTCTATTCATTTATTAAGTGTCTACATGGATATATTACTGAAGGAATCATAGTCACATGATCTAATGTGGGATTAAAATGTGAATTCCAGATAACTTAGTTTTCCTTGAAAAATAATCCTTAGTGTGTGTATGCGTTTTAAAATGAAAATGAAGAAATTAAGATTAGAGCCCTGGCCGATGTGACTCAGTGGTTAGAGTCGGCCTATATACCCAAGGGTCAATTCTGGTCAAGGGTGCATGTACCTGGGTTGCAGGATGGATCCCTGCCCTGGTGTGTGTGTGGGGAGACTTATGGGAGGCAACTAATCAGTGTATCTCTCTCATATTGATTTTTTTTTCTCTCTCTCTCCCTCTCTCTTACCCATCCTCCAAACCTCCCTCCCTTCCATTCTTTCTAAAAAAATCAATGGAACAATAAAAACAAAAAATTAAGGTTAAAATCAATTAACATTTTCTAATCAATTAAATTTTGTTTAAAGTCACATTTATCTGTAATGTTATCAGTTAGAATTATCCGGAAGTCTATAGATTAATCTTACATTTCTAGTATAGTACTCATAAGCCTCAGTAAGCATTCAGGAGCAGAAATCTGTAAGAGGTGGTTGTCATCCTTGACGGCTGCTGTTGACCAGCAGTGGCTGTGACCTACTTTGTTGTTGTTGTTGTTTAATTTGCAGGGAGGGGGGAGAGAGAGAGAGAGAGAGAGAGAGAGAGGCAGAGACAGAGAGAGGAGATATTTGTTGTTCCACTTAACTTATGCATTCATCGGTTGATTCTTATGTGTGCCCTGACCATGGATCAATCCCCCACAACTGTGGTGTATGGGGACATTGCTCTAACCAACTGAGCTACATGGCCAGGGCCTTTGGTTGTGACCTACTTTTAAGGGGCTGATAAGGAAGGTGTCAAAGTATGTATGTTTAAGGTTGTATTTAAAAAGCCTTCCGGTTTTTCCATCTCTTCACTATTGTTTCCATGGAAGCGGAATCACTGTCATCAGCAGGAGTTCATTTCAACTGCTGGCTTCCGGGTTCCTGACTCTCTTTTCCTATGGAGATTGCCTAAAAAGCAGCAGAGATACCAAAAGTGTAAAAAACAGTGATTTGATCACAAAATATGGTTTTAACTCTAGGTTTAATTAGGTGTTCCATAGTTTTGGCATTTTGGACTCAAATTATTTTGGGAGACAAGTTGTTATCTTTGAATAAAGCAAAATGTGAAGTTTTATTAAAGCATGTTTACGCTGAATGAAGCAACGAAAGTGCCCCAGTTTCTGTTAGAGTCGAGCCTTAGAGGAATAAAACAATTCTAGATGGGGATGTAAATTAAGGCTTAAAAGGTATAACCTGAAATGAGAAGCACTGGTGGTAATGGGAGAGCTGAGAGAGCCCACACACAGCAAACTCACAGCGGGGCCGGTGTGTGTGGAAATAGGGAATGTTTCTCATTTATGTCGCAAACTTGGTCCTCCAAAAACTGTATTCATACTTAGGTGATTTTCATAGTTTATATCCAGTTATCAACTGAGAGAGACAAAACCCCTGGGTTTAGAAATTAAGGACATTTTAAGGACATAGGCAGGAAGCATGCTGATTTCCATCGAGGTTTTGGGAATTGGAGAGTTAATAGATTATTCCACAGTTAAAAAGCAATAGTTTTCTCCCTCACCAACACCAATTATATTTGTGAATTTCTCATAAAAGAGAGAAGAGATGGAATAGTAACGTAAAAGCTATGAAAGGAGAGTTATTTAGCAAACTTCCAATAACACTTTTTTCTTTGAGGTCTGTATTCAGTCAGGGTTCTTTGGTTTACATGTGGCAGAATCTACATTTGGACTACTGCTTTACCCAAACGACAGCAGGAATATGGGTTCAGTTGGAATCAGCGACCCCAGCCACAGTAGGGTTAAAAAAACGTTTTTTTTTTTGGTCTCTCGTATCTGCCTCTCTGTCAGGTCCCTTCTTTCAGGTTGGCTTTTTGCACGTTGTCAGGAACTATGGCTGCTACAGAGAAGGACTGATTGGCCCAGTTCCTCTCCTCTCCAGCTGTGGCCAAGAGGGTCGGGTTCTGTGATTGGCTCAGCCTTGGGCCCTTAGCTAATTACAAGTGACTAGAGGGACTGAGATCTGAAACAAGGTAGCAGCTTTCATTGAAACCATGTTGGTAAGTGTTGGTAGTGGGAGGCCACAAGAGGAGAGGAGAAAGGGGCAGTTCCCAGAATAAACAGATGATGCTGTTCCAGGCAAAAATAAGAAGAGTGTTTTCCACTAGTAGTCGTTTTTTGAAAAATGTCTGCTTTACTCTAATTCAGTTTACTTTAATTCAGCAAACCAGGTAACATTATTTTGTAGGATTTGGTTCTGAGAGAAAAAGAACAAAAACCTTTAAAATGTAGTGCTTCCTATATTTCTGTCTCTGCCGCAGTACCTTTCATGTGTGTTGTCTCCTTTAATCTCCACAACCATTTGAGGTATACGTTTCCATTTTAGGGAATGAGAAGAGGTTCAGAGAGTTGAGATGCCTTACCATCGGTCACATGACTGGTGAGAGGCAGAGCCAGAATTCAGATAACCAGGGTTTCTGGAAGGTAATCCAGGGCACTTCCCACTATATGATACTTGCTTCATTCAGAAGATGTATAGGGTCAGTTATAAAAACAGTGCTATGTGTTAAGTGCTTTGATAAAAATGAGTCATGAATAGTATGAAATATTATTTAGGAAAGGAACCTTAGGAATCATAAATAGTATAGTGGTTCTCAAAGTTTTTTGACTTTTAGCCACAAAATGTTCACAGTCAAGCACCATGTAAAACAAGTAAAAGCATAGGGTCATCCTGTTCTGGATAGGAGAGGGCCCAGTACCCCATGGGCTGGACTACCTCTCCTTTGAGGTCTTGAGTAATTTGGAGGCCACTATAAATACCTTTTGTTTAGGGAAACAGAGAGCCAGACAGGGGGACTAAATGACTTGTCACTTTCAGGTAATTATATATTACAGGGATTTCAGTCACATTCCTGTTTTCAGTTCTAAGGTGACTGACAATTTGTTGTTAATGAAAAAACCATGAAGCTTACAAAAATCAATTAGAGTGAGTTCAGAGTTACTCTAAATAATTTTCTTCAGTTTGGTGGTCATTTACAGTATGTCATATCCATGCCATAGCTCTTATTAAATGGCTGTTGTAGTCAGTACTATTTGTTGAGTTGGACAATTGTCTGGACTAAGCTAGTCTTTTATCTGCAGATCTTTTTACACTACAATTCTTATATATCTACTCCTCTTAGAAAATATGGTGAATTCTCTGTACACATATTTCAATAGGAGAATTTCAGAATTTGGATAAATAAAATTCATGTAGGTAATATTTAGATCTTGCTCAGGAATGTAAAGAACAGCATAGAGAATATAGTCAGTAATGTAATAAATATATGTGGTGCCAGGTGGGTACTAGACTTATTGGGGGGATAATAACTTCCTAAGCTATAGAAATGTTTAACCACTATGTTATACACCTGAAACTAACGTGAAATAATATTGAATGTCAACTGTAATTGAAAAATTAAAAATATTTAGACCTTGCTGATATTAATAACTTTGATGTCCATTCCAATTTTGAATCTGTCTTCTTTTCAGTTAGAAATGTGAACAAGAGGTGCATTGGGTGACAGGAAGTTAATCTTCAGATTGGATAGAAGAAAGTTAATTTATTTCTCCCTGTCCTGAGTTGTGTTCTCCCCTTTCAGGAGAGTCCAGCCCCACCCGGCGCGAGGCTGTGAAGAGAAGAACAGCCGAGTATCTCATGCGAGCAGAGAGGCTCTCTGGTTTCAGTGGAAAACCTCCGTTTGATGATGGGTCTCAGGTACGTCTTATGTTGCATTTGCGTTTTCTTCAGCTATGTTTGCTGTGTTGTCTCTCGACTTTATTTCTGGTTAGAGTGTTTGAGAATTTTGGTCTTTGTAATTTTATCAATAATTTTCATAAGTTATTGGTGAAAGAAAAGCATTAAAGCAAACTACCAAAAGTGGAATAAAATGCAACTGTTTTCTCCTCTTTCTTGGCCCTTTGTTTCTTACTCTACCCTAATATCTAATTTATACTGAATTTTATTTGACTTTTTAAAAGTTAAATTATGATTCTCATATAATTCCTGTACAGTTTTGTTGATTCATGCTAAAACTAGTCATTTAAGCTTAAGTCCTACAAGTAGCTGCTATTGATCACCTAGAATTATAAAGGTATAATTCTAACAGGGATGTTTAGATTATTTAGGATTACCCTTAGTCTTATCTCAAAAGCAGGTGAATGCTTGTAATATTAAAAACATTGTGGTTTAATATTATTGTTTTTATAATCCTATTTGTCTGATTTGGCACATTTCTGGAAAAAACTTTGTTATTTTTTTCTTTATATTAAACCAAGTTTTTTTTTTTTCTTTTTTATCCTCACCTGAGGACATTTTTTCCCCATTTTTTGTTCAGATAGAGTGGGAGGAGAGAGAGGAAGAGAGAGAGAGAAACATCGACGTGAAAGGGACACATCGAGTGGCTGCCTCCCGCACGACCAAACCAGGGTCGGGGACAAACTGCAACCGAGGTACGTGCCCTTGACCAGAACTGAACCTGGGTCTCTCTGGACCTCAGGCCAAAGCTCTAACCACTGAGCAAACTGGCCAGGGCAAACCAAGTTGTTGTTGATGCAATGTAAGAATCATATCTTCTAGAGATGGGAGAAAGTATTCATTTTCTTAATTGATCTAAGAGGCAGACAAGCTTCTTCAGATCCCGACGCTGTCATTTGAAGCCAAGGAAGATGTGGCAAGATACTTAACCACCTCTTTCCTTCAGTTACTGCATCTGAAGAATGAGAATCACAGTGATTCCTTACTGGGTTCTTGTTAGGATTAAATGAGTCTAAGAAAATCCCTCAAAAAATAGAAACCCCCCCCACCACGCACACACATACAAATCAAGTGCCCACCTCGTAAAGAGATCAGCCTATAAGCCAAACTTATAAGACTAGATTAATAAGTTTTAGCCATATTTTTTTATCTCCCCTTGTATACCACTGTATAAACTTTTTTTGACTTTTTTTATGCTTTATATACTTTTTGAAAATTATAAAAGGCCTCAATTTTCTAGTTAAAAAACAGACCAATATTTAATCTTGATTCATTGGACCATTAAAACTTTTTGTTGCTGATTTTCTGAGCCCTTTTCATTTTCTGTATGACCTTTTAAACCTTCAGTTATCAAAAGTATACTTATTAGTAAGAATTTTCTGTTAAGTATGAGACCATTCATTTTGGAACAAAAAGATAATATTCCAGTCCAACTGGTGTTGCTCAGTGGTTGAGTGTCGACCCATGCACCAAGAGGTCACCTGTTCTATTCCCGGTCAGGGCACATGCCCAGGTTGTGGGCACAACTCCCAGTGGGGGATGTGCAGGAGGTGGCCAATCGATGTTCTCTCTCATCGATGTTTCTGTCTCTTTCTTCCTCTCGTTTCCTCTCTCTCTGAAATCAATAAAGGGAAAAAAAAAATTTTAAACAACAAAAAAGATAATATTCCAACTTAGAAGTAATATACTTTTGTGACTTGTTCTAACATAATGAATATGTTTTAAATAAGATACCTACTGACTCATTTTCAGATTGTTAATTATTGTGACTCTTCTATATTGTTTGTCACTCTTTTCCTATTTTTATTTGTTCTTTTAATTACATTGTTTAATTCCTTTAACTCTTCACTATTGAATTATATGTGTGTTTTTTTATCCTCACCCGAGGACATTTGTCCATTTTTTTGTTCAGACAGAGTGGGAGGGAGAGGAATTGAGAGAGAGAGAGAAACATCGATAGGAAAGGGACACATCGAGTGGCTGCCACCCGCATGACCAACCAGGGCTGGGGACAAACTGCAACCGAGGTACGTGCCCTTAGCAGGAACCGAACCCGGGTCTCTCTGGACTGCAGGCCGACGCTCTAACCGCTGATCCAAACTGGCCAGGGCTTGAATTATAGCTTTTTAAAATGAAATACTTATCTAAAGATTGCTTTGAATTCAGTTCTTATTGTCTCTGGGGTTGGCACCTCCTTCCCCCCCGCCCCGTGTACTATCCTGATATGTATGTTCTCGATTCTATTTGGGGGGACATTGATAAATTAAATTTTTAAATAGGATGGGTCTGTATGAACTTGTTTTATTAAATCATCTTGCATTTAAATATTCTAAAAGTTTTAGGGAGTCAAAATGACCAGTATTCTGTTCTTTCCATTAATAGTAACTTTGAATATTCTTCGTGTACTCATTCATTCAAACTACCTCCTTATGTATTCCGTTACAGTTCCTCATAGTCACTTAAAATTTTTTTTCTTTATTGATATTTAGAGAGAGAGAAAGGGAGAGGGAGAGAGAGAAACATAGATGAGAGAGAACATGGATTGGCCGCCTCCTGCATGCCCCCCACTGGAGATTGGGCCCACTATCTGGACATGTGCCCTGACCAGGAAGTGAACTGGTGACCTGTTGGTGCATGGGTTGATGCTCAACCACTGAGCCATACTGGTCGGGCCCTTATAATCACTTTTATAAGCAATAATCTATTAGGAAAATAAACATGTAAAGCTAGCTGTATAGCTTTTGACTTGGAGAAAGGAATGATGAAGTAAAGCAGTCAGAATTTTCCTTTTAAGTGTAGCTTTTAATGAAAATAAAACTAGCTGGGCCTGTGTGGCTCAGTGAACTGAGTCATCTCATAGACTGAGAGTTCCTGGTTTGATTCCTGGTCAGGGCACATGCTGGGTTGCTGGCTTGATCATCCCCAGTAGGGGGTGTGCAGGAGGCAGCTGATCAATGTATCTCTTTCACATCGATGTTTCTATCTCTGTCTCCCTTCTTCTCTCTCTGAAAAATCAGTAAAAACATATTTTAAAAAAAAGCAAATAAAACTAAAGAGGTATAATATAGGAGAGTTGATTGTATTAGGTTACATATTAATTCACTAAGCATCTGTGAAGATGGTGTGTATACAGAAGCAATCTAGATATATTTTGGAGTTGTACAAAGGATGATGACAGTGTCTAATCTTGTAAACCCTATAGCATAATTGAAGGCCCCAAATGTGTACATCATTGAGGAAATAAAAGAGAACTGTAAGAACCACACAGAATAATGGGAACTTGGATCAGAAAGGGTAAAGAGTGGTACCAGATTTGATATACTAGACTTTTTCAGTTTTCAGCCAAGAAGACTAGAGGAGAGTTTTTCTTGCTAGAACAAGATGTTTTTCTTTTATGGGTAAGCAATTGCTTTTTATTTTCATTTTGTATTTTCTTCTATTAAACCTGGCCCTTATTTAGGTCAGGGACATGCTTGATTATTTTCTTATCTAAAATGGAACTTAAATGTCTCCTGGAGCTTTTTGATTAGCTTAGTGAATTCATTATTTATCTCCATTACTTTTCTTTGGGCCTCAGTTTCAATGAACACAATAAGAGGACTAGTATAAATGATTTCCGAGGCCCTTTTAGCTCTTAAATTCTGTGCAGAGCAGATATTATTTCTCTTTTGAATCCATGTGCAAACATTTCTTTCCAGCCTGGCTGATTAAGAAAATAAAGGAATCCTTTCTGGGTTTAAATGTGTTGTTGATTACTGTTTTCCCTTTTGGTACAGTCTAGGTCCTGACTCACTCCACCTGAGTTTTCTCTGGTGGTTTAAGCTTTTGCTTTATTGAATTTATTTATGAGAATCTTCAGTGGTAAATACAGAAGTTCTGAATTTCCTAGTCATTGATGGTCATATCCTTTTCAAAAAAGGATAGCAAGGAGCCAAAGCACTCTCCTACTGTTTTCTCTTCTTCACTGCTTCATTACCAAAAGGCCCAAAGAAGAGTTTTCAGGAAAAAAGGGAATGATCTTTGTTTAAAGAAAAGGTGAAATCATAACTGAAGGAGACAGATTGTTAAACTTTAAAAAATTAAATTATAGATGACTTTGAATGATTTAAGTATTTATATTAAAAAGGGTGGTCCCTGGAAAAGGCTGGGTATAGCTTTTTTTTTTTTTTTTTTGCTATTTTTAGCTCTAAGAATGTGAAACTCAAGATCAATGACATTTAGAAAAAGAAAATAGTCTAAGACTGTGTAGTTTCTAAAGTATAAATACATTTTTTGTCATGCAATTACAAGGTGTGAGTGAAAATTAATATGTAGAATGTATGCCTTTCCTGGCTATTTTGTAGATTTTGAATATAATTGCTATAATAATATTGAAAATAGTTTTCTGTTGTGCATTGTTTTTCTGGTATTGATATTTCTCAGTTCCTTAGAAAAAAATATTTTACAATGAGTTTGTATCACCCTTGGTTAGACATGGGAAATCAGAGCTGGCAGTGAGGGGTTATTCCAAATCAGGAACAGGATTGCAGTGGAGTCATGCTTGAAATGTGACCTAAGGGAGGTGTAGGAGCCCCGGTATTGAGGGTTAATAGGTTCTATTGAAAGTCTTGGCAAAGCCAGAAATCTATAGATGAAACCAAGTTCAGAAACTAGGTAGTTAGCCATCAGGGTTCAGAGTGTGGGTTCTAGGTAAGTTCTTTGTGGTGTTTTCCTTTTGCCCTTGATTACTTATTTCCTCCCAAGTAATGGTGACTTACTCTCAGGTTATTTAAGGAGGAGTAGCTAGCCCTTCTTCAGATACGGTTGCTGGACCAGTAGCATCACATCACCTGGGACCTTGTTGGAAATGCAGAACCTTAGGGTCCCCCCAGACTGAGTGAGTTGGAATCTCCATTTAACAAGGTCCTCAGGTGATGTGTATACATGTTAAAGTTTGAGAAGTATTGTCCTAATAGATTGGT